ATGAGCAAGAAACTGAATTTAAATGAAAGAAACCGAAAAAAGATTTCACCTGCGTGCCATCGAGAATTTGTAGATCTTAACAAAGCAGGCTTTTAAAACACCCGCACATCCATTAACTGCGATGCTTCAATAAAAGAAGGCTTTTTTGCTCAGGCCTTTCACATAAATGTGAGGCGACAGGGCCATTTTACCCCTATCTACCAAGTGGTGCCAAACAAATTAAACCTACGAGTCAAGAAAATAGGCAGTGAAGCTAAACACCAAAAACCCTTTTTGATGTGGTTTCCTCCCCACTGAATTGGTAGAAGGTAGATTATTTTTTGAATGAGCAACTGAGTTTGCTTTTTCTCAAAGGTTGGGACTGAAACCTGACTTAGTGATTGCACTGTTGTTACAAATTTTTACTCCACTCTAACCAGCAAGTAAACAAAAACTGAGTCTCATTTGTGAAAAGATCTGCTTTTCAGAGAAGATGTAAAGATTACAGCATTARCTAGAGAATTTGCATTTACTGCAAAAATGAAATGTGAACGTTTAGTGCTGAAAGATTTTCCCTGGAAGCTGCTGAAGAAGTTAAAAATGTTTTATAGCAAAACTGTTCATGTGAGTTCAATTTGAACAGCTGACTTTTGAAGAAAGTCGGAAAACAAAAGTAGACCGCAGCAGAAACAAGTTGACCTTCGACAAACGGTGAATGGAGAAAAACATTGCTCGTATTCACAGAAAAAACATGAAGGAGTACAAGAAAGCTGCTATTTAAAATGAGCATAAAAACAGCTAAAAAGTAGCAAAAAAAAGGTGAAATTAGTACAAAGATATGGAAATAGCATGTTAGCTGAATTAAGAAGCTGAAATTGTCACAAAAAGGTGAATATGGATTAAAAAACGCTAACAAGGTCAAAAATAGCTGAAATTAACAAAAAGGAGACTAAAATAAGCCTAAAAATGCTTATATTAGACAAAAGCTGAAGGGAGCAGAAAAATAGCTTAAAAAAACAGAAAAAAAAGCTTAACTTAGAAAAAAGTAAATGAAAACATTTTTATTTATTTACGTTTATTAATTTAGTTTTAAAAAATAAAATAAATTCTATATACAATAAAATAAATAAATGTAAATCACAAATAAAACAAAAAGGCAGCAGAAAGAAGAAAAAAATTGTTTATCTTTTATCCAAAAAATAATTAGCAAAAAGCTACAGAAAGAGCACTATTGCTGAATTAAGCAATCAAAACCTCAGGAGAATTTAGATGAAAGAAGCTCAAAATAGCTGAAAATAGCAACAAAATAGAAAAAAAATGTGCAAATTTCCCCACTGTGGGATCAATAAAATTTTATCTTATCTTAAAAAGGTCAAAACAGCTTAAATTAGCAGAAATCTGCTAAAAGAAACCTAATTAAAATCTATAAATCAACAGACAAATAGCTGAAAGGAGTGAAAAGATAAATGAAATAGCAAAAAAATAAATTAAAAAAAAGCTAAAATTTGAAGAAAAAAACAGTTGAAAAAAGGAAAACCAGAACAAAAGGTAAAGATTTAGAAACATTTTCAGGGTTTTAAGGATGGTGAAGATAACTCCATTTTCAATGAGAAAAAAAATGACAGAAACAGCTAAATAGCTGAAGTTGCTGAAACACCAAAAGTCATAGCACTGGAGTCATAAATGAGACSAACGTTTTGTTATATGAATTGCTGAAATAGCATAAAACTTGTGGAACGAGTTAAGGTAGATGATGAAAAACACAGAAGAAAAATGGACCATTTCTATAACGTGAATACTCAGTGGCATACACAGTGGMACACTGTCCTGCATGTTTTACGYTTCCCTGCTTCAACACAGCTGATTTCAGTTGGTAACTAATTAAYAGGCTTTTAATGAACTATAATCACCTGAATCAGGTGTGTCAAARCAGGGAGACCTCTAACATGCAGGGCAGTGTGCCTTAAGGATCAKGGTTGAAAAACACTGGCACACATTATCATTAAGGATTCTGAACTTTTCTTTTTTTTAATCAAGTTTTATAACCAAGTTGCAGCAAAAGGTAAAAAAGTTTAATATGAACATTGGGACTCTCTACAATTTAAATAAATACAACTTGCAGGGACCAATACCTCCATCCTGMCTGCACTTCCTCTCTGCCTCCAAAGCCTCAAAGTGCACGCAATTTGAAGCTAGTAACCATAGAAACTGTGCAGGTGGCAGTGATGGACATCAAACAGAGGTTCCCCCTGGATTTCACTAGTTGTTTGAACTCAGACACAGTGGATTAATCCTCTTATAGACACTAGGAGGAGCCTAATCAAAATACCCCATAAACCAGGCAACAGATTATCATAAATCTCTTGAACTAATCRTTGGATGTTGATCACAGCACCATTCAAGATGGCCACCAAAGTTCAGCAACAAACATGAAAATGGCTAAACCTCCAGTTTTATATGTAGTGAGCTGAAATTTGCAGGGCCTCAGAATTTCTGTGATGCAGAAAACACAGATGGACTCATGAAATAAAAAAATAAAAAAAATAATCAAGTGCAAAACGCAGAATCCCAGAGAATTCACTCATTTCACCRTGTGTACCTGACGTCACCTGGCTGCACAGACTGGGCTCCCCTCCTCACACAAACAGGAAAAACTGGTCAGAAAATGGCKAAGTGGATCGCTGAAACACCAACATCCTTCAAAATACCGTAATTACCTAATTTCCCTCTGGGATCAATAAAGTATTTTTGAATTTGAATTGAAGTGAATTGCATAAACACAGTTTTATATACCTCGGACAATGCTGAGTTTTTATTTTACGAAAAGAAAATTTTTTACGTGAGATTCTATGTTTCACACAAAGTTGCGTTTTTGTTTTTTTAAAATGTGAACTAATTTTAAATACCTTGCAAAAATATTCATCATTTATGTTAAACTGAACCAAAACAAACTGTTCTATTTGTGAAAATGAAATAACAGCCATTAAATTTTGAATTCCTTGACTATTCATTTGTTTAAAAATCTTTTTCAATCACTTTAGAATTAAATTGAATTGAATTGAATAAACCTTTATTGCCATTGTACAGAGCACAATGAMATTACAGTTCAGAACACCCATTCAGAAGACAATAAAAACTAACAAAATTACACAGTTCAAGATAATAAATATGTCTAGAATGAAAAAAATGAAAAAAGCAGATATTTAGAAAAAGAAAAAGAGAATTTGGGGAAAAAACAGATTTCATCGGGCTCCATATTTGGTGTGGTGGTAGCTCTAAGCTTAAGATTCTTTTAGTTTCAATCTCTGGCATAAAATGTTGTGGGCAATATGGTTTTTATGAAGGAATGCTAGGTCTTTAATATTTTTAATTAATTACTTCTTTTGATAAAAAAAATCTGAAATAATTTTTCAGAAAAATGCTATAAAAAATTCTACAGGGGTCAACCTAATTCCTATGTTTAAGCAGACATAGTRATGGAGGTGGTAACTTTAAGTTGTTTAATTACTCACTAACCTTTTACGTCATATTTTTAACTGCTCACACAACGGGTATTTTAATTACAGTTGTGAGTTTGGGAGAAAGGAGCAAATATTACCATAAAAATGACCCGTGTCAGAAAGACTGATCGGAGTCAACAGGCCGATGAAGCCATTAACGTTCAAGTGCTCTCTTGAACAAATACAGCTGAGAAATAATGCTAATTGGTGTCTTCCTGTATGCTGCAGACTACAAATCTATATTACAGCAGAGACAAGACTTTAAAATATCCATTTTGGTGCAATCGTCACGGGAAAGTTTTCCTCCTTCAGCTGGGACTGGCTGCTCGCTCACTGGCATTAATAGACCTGAGCAGAATAGGAGGGCACTCAGTCAGCTGTACCACAGCCTAACCTTAACAAGCCCCAACAGAAACGTTACTGCGTCAACCTGAACCCTCCTCCCCACCGTCTGTATGGTGTTAAGAAGCACTTTCACAATAAAATGCTTCCCTTGAGTCGGGGATCTAACCAAAGCCTATTCGACAGTCCGAAGTGAGCTCATTACTGAGACTTGGTGAACCTCGGTTTTACATGTCGCTGCAACACGCAGGAGGAGTAACAATGGAAGAAACTGTTTTTTATTTCTTCCACTCGTGACTTCATTAGAGACCAGATATGTGCTGCAAAGACACAAAAGGCCCCTGCATTATTAYGGACACCAGCCTAGAAAAGACAGCTAATGATAGAAGAAAGGTGTAAAAGTAATTTCTTTTTCAAAAAAACAAAACAAAAGCTTTAGAATTAAAGAAACACATTCACACAGACACAAGTAAAATCACTTTCGCCTCTCATCTTTGGCRGTGGGTAATAATCAAGACTGACGGTGGTGCATTGGAGCCGACACTTATAAAGAAGAAACCTTGGTAGAAGCATGAGGCCACTCYGACAGAGTCTAACAGCTCCTCACACAATAACAACCACAGTGTTATGAACACACCCTAGAAATGCCAGCACGTCTAACAGGGTTTATATTGATGCCTGCAGGGATCTATAAACATGTCTACAGGCTGGCRGGAACACAAGATGCCACAATGCTTAATCCACGAGCCAAAGGGCAGAGATGAGGATTTCCTTAGCTTAGTAAGTGTAGAATTTCTTAGAAGCCTGGAGAATACCGAGTAAAAAATTTTTTAAAATACTGCCAGACTGACAACAGTAAACAGAGCAAAGATTAATCAGCAAAAATGGCAGGAATGTAAAGAGACAGAGCGAAATAAAGAGTTCAGAAAACTAGAAAGTGGATAAAAACATTTAAACATGAGGTGGAATCAAACTCAAATTCTACACTTACATATAAAGTGATGTCAAGTTATGATTCAGACTATACAGCTGTTAGTAAAAGTTAAAAATTTACCTGAATAAAACACAATGAAATGTTTGTCAAAGCCTTCATAAGTAAAGTTGTTGCACTAAAACAGGAACTAAAAATCCACAACAGATAAAAATATGGTGGTTTAAAGCATCAAACCTTTCCTTTACCGTTCTGTGTGAGTTTGGTGGAGCAGACCAGAGTGGAGATCTGAAAGGAGTCCTTGCTGATGGTGCAGGCCCCCAGGGTCTGGGTGCTTTTCCCGGTGGCAGAGTAGCCTTTTTCCTCCAGCTCCAGCTTGGTGGACGGGACATTTAGGTAGAAAGACGAGTCCTCCAGCTTCTTTTGTTCTGCCTGGGTATTAAAGATATGATTTGCTCAGTTTACCGGCTGATTCCTAAATCTGATGCTTACTTTGCAGTGAAGGTCTTTAGTAGGGGGTGCACCAATCACTGAYCTTTAAAAAGCCTGCATGYTGATTCTGAATTTGGCCGATACCAATTGTTGAAATAGCTGACTCTGTCAGGTGTTATGCGGTCAATACACTTTCAATGTCCSAATTTTATTGAAAAACAGTGAACAATACCCTTGAAACAATACAAATTTGTTTTAACTGGGCATTAGGTAGTGCTCACAGCAGAGCAAAAGTGGACAGTGGCTGATTTTCAGACCTTTGTGGAGGTAGACGAGAAGCTGATCTTTTCCAAATATCAGCCGATCTCTGATCTCCCAAAATTAAGGAAGTCGGTGCTGATAAATTGGCCGGACAGTTTATTGGTGCACCCCTAGCCTTTACTCTTTTGATATCTCTGTCTTTGATGATCACTATGGAGGGGATTTTATTTAATTTCCTTTAGAAGCTTGATATACAATAATTCCAAACCATCACTCTATGAAAGCAGGATAACATGACAGTTAAGAATTAAGCAAGCAAAATATTTTGCCTACGGCCCACGATAATGTCTTAAGCAGCAAGGGTTTCCCACACACACACAGGCAGCCAGTAGCAGAAATCAGCACAAATCCAATCCAAACAGTTAGGGGAGATTTCCACATTTACCTTGTAGACGATGAGATCGTGCTCACCGTCCCTCAGAGTGGTTCCATCATACCGCATCAGTTTAACAAAAGACAAGGCAAACGTCTTCTCCGATTTATCTCTGGCTGTGGGAGGACAAAATCAAACACATGAGGAAACAGGAAACCAGGAGGGGGAGATATCGATGGTGTTGCACAAAAGTGTGTGCTTTTTATTCTAGGGGTAAATTTGCAAACCAACAGAGCAGATCTCAAACACGTGCAGGGCAATTTGCCTAAATGAACAGTGTGCACACAGTCGCAGAATGTTTAAGAAAGCCGATTCTGCTAGGAAAAAAAAAAAAAAAAAAACGCACGATTGCTGATTTTACAAGAAGTCTATAAACCAGCAGACTGATAAAATAGATCATCTCAGCACTAGAGGCTCCGAGTCAGCTCCTGAGAGGGCTAAAGAATCTGCTGCTGCCAAATGTTCTAAGGTTTTTATTAATGTTGTGGTTTTATTTGTGCATAAACTGCTTTAGCCCCCACCCCCAATAAACAAAAACAACATATAGGGTTGGGAAATTTGCTGAAAGATATAATTTTCATCGACTGTAATCTCCAAAAACAATTGATCGGCAATATCATTTTCAAATATTTTTAAACTTTCCTTTTATTTCTTTCTCTTTAGTTTTTTTTTTAAGAAGATTGGTGGTCAAAAGTAGGATGTTCACAGAAAAAAAATAATAAATTCACTACTTTAGGATTATATTGTTTAAACTAAGGAGTTCAAAAACTGACAAGGAATTTACCAGATCTGTACAAGCAGCTCTGAGCTGGTTTCAGAAGCTACAAGCAGCTTTAAAAAATGATGCACTTTTTGTCACACATTGAAAAAAATAACTACAGAGGATGAACTCCAGTGGCCAGAAGTCTATATATCAAGGTTCGTAAACTTTTCCCACAGTAAAATTCAAGCACTTTTCAAGGTAAACTTTTCCAACACCAAATTCGGGGCAGTCTGTATCTGTGTGCCTTTCTCCATTGAGCTTTATAACCATGGGACACAGCGTTCCCTATGTGAAGGGAGCCAATCAACAATCTAAAACACTGTGCAACCAATCCGATTAAAATTCTGCAAGATATAGTTATAGTCATAAGTATGTATTAATATGAAATGCACATATAGGCAGTATAAGCCCAAAATACATCAGAGGCACAGCATCCATGACAGAACAAAGCCACAACTACGTTTTTCATAATTAGCTAAACACCTTGAATCCATCCTTCATACAATCAATTTGCAATTTACCTGCTAACTTGTAAAGTAGCTTCAATTTAAGATTCCTCCCACTAGGGATGGGTACCGAATTCAATAATTTTTTATGCACAGACCCAATTCTGTCGATACTACCGAGTATCTATTCACGCAACATCAAACAGTACCATGTTTCGGTACCTAAACGCATCATTGCGACTGGTTTGGCGTAAGCGTGGTGAGTTTACCATGCTTGTCCTGAATGCAGCATCACGCAAAAGCGTAATGACGTCAGCAGCAACAGCCGCTGGTTCAGTCAGTAAACAGAGGCAGCACAGCTCGGTCTGAACGTAGCTTGAAAGCCTCGCAGCTCCAGGAGTAAAACTCACTGAACAGACCGCCTCTGAATTATCT